AGCAACAGCGTCATGAAAAAGTCTGAAAATATGATTACAATAATCAAGGAGGGACACAGAGACAGGCAGTGAGGGGGCTACTGAGGAAATGTGTATGTTATCAGGTCTTGCTGCATTGAAGACCCTCAGCTGTAACCTTTAGGGTCTCTTCTCCCAACAAGCTGTAGGATGGGTTCGAACCGCCAAGCTTCCAGTTCACAGCTGAGCGCCTAACCACTGCTCCACTGGCACGTCTTCCTCTCGCCTGGCTCGCTCTCCTCTCCACCTCAGCTCTTCCCTTCTGCTTGCCTCTCTCCTCCCTCTGTTCTCCGTCCTCCTCTGCTGTCCCTCCAGCTTATCTCCTGCAGCCAGCCTCTCTCCTGGTCTCTGTCCATATCCACCCTCTCCTTCCTCTGTTTGCCCTCCTCCAGGCTCAGGGGCAGGGCTGGCCAATGCTACAGAGCCACCAGCCCCTGGGGTGGGAGGACCTTGGTGACACCCGTTCTCTCTCCTTTTTCTGCCCGACACTGGACGCTCCCTGGAGGAATCGGGGCTCCCCGGGCCCAGGAAGGTGGACACAAGGGATGGATGCAGAGCTTGGAAGCAAGCTGCCCAACATGGCACAGCGCGTAAGTGTCATGGCCAGGACCTGAGCCCCCTGGACTCTGCGGGTCCCAGGGCTCCTGCGTGGGCGTGGTGGGCAGGGGCTCTTTTTCCTAGAAACCCCTCATCTGTCCTTTCCCCCAACCCCCCACCGTCTTCTTCAGGTAGCACAGAGCATGCCAACACGGAGAAAGGATCTCACCCGGTTTCCACCCCACGGATGAGGACACGAGACTCCAGGCTTCCTGATGACCAGCATCTGCTAGGAGAGTGGCATCTTGAGACACCCCCCCCCAACTTTTCCCAAAGGCCGCTGCAGGACCCTCGTCTCATGGAGAAGGGCCTCAGGTGTGAATTTAGCCTGGCCACCCCCAGGGGCCACTGAACGGACCTTCTCGTGACTGCCACCTACTGATAAAGCATGGAACTGCAATGTGGCTTTATTAGACATTGATTCCCAGCAAAAAGAACTGGAGGGGTAACGGGAGGAAAAGTGGGGAGAATGCGAATATTCTGTAAAACTGTTACTCCTAGTAGCAATTAAACATCATAACCATATCCTTATGCCGACTCCTAACTGACTTGATAAGCCCGGGAAAGAAACCCTAATGACATTGGTTGGTTTAAAGTGAGGAGTGGGTGGGGTGGGTGGGGTGTGTGGGGTGGGGAGTGATGGCCAGAACGTGGAAGCCAGAGATACAGGAGAGCGTGAGCTGGTGGCCACCGTGGGGTGTGCTGGCCCAGCTAAGAATTACAACGCTGTACCACGGAATTTTTAAAGTATTTCCTCATTTTTCTAAGTGTAAAAAAAAAATTTAAAAGACTAATTATCTACGTAGTACCTTTTGTTTTTATAATTGATTGCTCCACTTACGAATAAGCGTCTTGAAAAATACTGTAACCCTTGGGATTAAATATGGGTTTAAGCAGTTAACTCTTTTTGATTTGTTAGACTGACAAATTAAAATGGATGCATTTAGTCGGTAAATTCGTCTTTGAATTAATTCTTTTTGTGTGTGTCAAGCCACAAATAATGGTAAAAATTAATGGCTCATGTGTTATTTAAGCCTAATTTGGCATGAGAAATGATCGTTTTATTTTATAATCATTTATAACGAAACTATGTTCGTTCCAGCAAGTTTCAAAAGGTATATAGCGCTAATTAATAAAACCTTGGAGGCAAAAAAGTTTACTACTAGCTTGCAAAAGTGTTATGTGTTTTAAAAATAAAATATATTGGGAGGGGGGTGGGAAGAACCTGTAACTGAACTCAAATCTCATTGATCAACTTTCAGTCAAATGATAAACAGGCCTGTCAGGTGATCAGAAACACCGGAGGGAACATCAACCACACACAAAGGGCCGCATCTTCCCTGGGAGAAAGTGCAAAAGGCAGGGATAGGAAAGGACAAGTGGAAATGGGAAACACAGGGAGGAAACGGAAGAGTGCTGTTACAATGTGGGTCTTGGAATCACTGTCACAAAACATACTAGGTGTGAATAATTGAGGGAAAAACCAATTTGCTCTGTGACCTTTCATTCAGATTAAAATGAAAATGTCCTGCTGGAGGAACTGTATCCTGAGCTGCCCCTGTTATGTCCCCTAACAAACCACTAAGTCACTCACTCACTGGCGGGCTGGAACTGACTCAGATCAGAGCTGACCTTCTAGCTGTAAGCATACAGATTTCGACTGCCCGTCTTTCTCCCTCGCAGCAGCTGGTGTATTTGAATCATCCACCTTTGCGTTGGCAGTACGACTCTCTATCAGCTAGGCCTCCGGAGCTCCCAAGGATTTTACCTGAAATGCTCCAGCCCTTAGTCCTATCCAAGCCCTGAGTCGTAAGGGGAGTTTCGCTGGGGCGTGGCCTGCAATAGGGGAATAATGAGAGCTGAGACCTGGGACCTCAGTTCCACGGAGAACCAATCGCTGGGGTGGAGGGCATCCCTCTAACTCAGGAATCTGCATGTAGGAAGATCCTTGGCGGAGTGAGAACCAAGACACGCGATGTCCAAGGAGCACCAGCCCTGCAGAAGCCATCAGGCCCTTCTGCTGGAGCCGGCACCCTGAATATGGACTCCTACTCTCCTTGGCTCTGGTGGCTTAGTTGGAAAGAGTTGTGCTGCCAACCTGAAGGCATGCAGTGTGAATCCACCAGCTGTTTCTTGGAAGAAAAATGGACAATCTCTGTCCATGCAATCCACAGCCTCTGGAGGGCCAGCTGTGCATCTGTTCTCACTTGATGGCACCTAAGATCAACAAGAGTGTCCTCATTTGAGAAAAGACATCAGTGGGTTAAAGCCATTGACTGAGACAAGGGTCCCCAAAGAACACTGGGTGACTCGGTGGCTGTGGACACGGATCAGAAGGGATCAGCTGCAGAGGGAGGTCGGCGCGTCTGAAGGAGGGGGCCCCGCAGCCCCAGCTAGGTGGACCAGCAGGACAGCAGAGATGAACTCCGACAGGGAGGACTGTTGCTGTGCTCTGCTTACCCCAGGACACCCTGAACGTGAGGGGACTTGGGGAAGTGAGCGGCAGCCTAAGTCCAAGTTCACCTAGTGGGACTCTCTCTCTCACTGCCCTAGAACCAAAACCAACACACAGCTGGGTTTTCAGAGGCTGTAAATCACATGGGAGACTGTCCGTCTGTCTCCCACAGAGCAGCTGGTGGATTCGAACCGGCTGCCTTTGGGTTGCCAGCACAACTGCTTACTCACTAGGCCAAATCAACCAATGGAGACCCAGGGCAGTGCTACAGACACATGAGGGGGCGACCAGGACTTGGGGTTGGCACAGTGGCAAACGGCTGGGTCATCCGAGCTGCCCTGACTGCCCTTGGGCACACCACCAGTGACTCCAGCTGGAGGGGATCAGCTGGGAACAGGGCACAGCTGCGCCCAAGAGCTACAACCCCACTCCAGAAGGCACCACGAACCACATCACACACACGTGTGAACGCAGCACTCTACACACTGAGGACTTTGGGGTTTTTGTTTGTTTTTTACACAAACTGAGCGTTTGTGACGAGTCTGCAGGCACCATCTTCCCAACATCCTGTGCCGCTGGCACCTCTGGGAGACACCTCGTGGTCCTCTGTGTTCAAACTTTCTCATCATCCAGATATATTTAACAGAAGACACAGCACAGTACCCGCGCATGTGCGCAGGGAGAACAAGGTCGGCCAGGGCATTTCTTTGCCCCCCGAGGGTCACCTGTGCTTCCACAGCCCCCTCGGCGCACACAGATGCTCTGGGATGGAAATGGAACGTGGGTCAAGGTCAAGGCCAAGGCGACGGGCTTGTGCCACGCGGGGTGAAGGCCGCGTCCCGGGAAGGTGCTCTTTATTTGTAAAACATTTTTTTTAAACCTATTACTGTCATTTCACTTTTAGTCCCGTGTCCCAAGGAAGCTCAGTGGGAGGCCGACCGCCTGGTCACAGTCCTGTCTACAAACACACATGGGCAGCAGGGTCAAGGCCGCACGTTCGGGGACCAAGGCTGCCGGACACTGCAGAGCGTTGTTTCACCGGCCATTACTATGCGTCTGCTTCGGGGTGTTCCGAATCACCCACTAAGAGCGTTCAGGAAGCCCACACGTGGACACGAGCTTGTAATGAAAAAAAGACCCAGCTGCACGGGGCTTGTGGCCTTCCAAAGAGCTGAGTTTCAATAAATTATAGTATGTCCTGTGCTTCAATATACTCTCCAGCCTGTGCCTTTAAATATGTGAAAAGATACAGAGGACTCAAGGACAGAGCCCAGGAGGCCCGAGTCAAGGTCAAAGGGGTCTTCAGTCCTTCGTCATCTGGCCTTGACTCTGACTGCTTCTTCTCTAACTGAAAACATTTCTTCACACTTCCCTGCAGGCCGAGGTCTAAGACTTCCGCTCGGAGCCTCAGGCTGTGGGCACCGGGCAGATCAAAGTGGACACGTCCATCTGATCAGGATCTGCCGCTGCAGGTCCAGCTCTGCGCGGGGATGAACACATGGGGTCCACAGCCCATTCGGTGTCAGGAGTCAGGCACAGCCCTGGGCATCCAGTTGGGACCGCCTGCCCCAGTGCCGCTGGCAAGGATGGCCCTCAGGGGAGAGGCCACAGCAAGGTCTCAGAGTCTGGAGAGGACCTGGTGTGTTCCCCAAACCGCAGTGTCAAGAGTCAGGGGGCAGGAGTCACAGCTGGAGGGCGGAGCCCAGGGAAGCCAAGGAGGTAGAGCAGGGCTTGGGGCGGGCAGCAGATGGCTACGTGCCCCAGGGAAAGGCCCTCAGGGAGTTGCTGGGGCACAGGCTAGAGAAGCAGCCAAGGAGGTGACCTGGTGGCCTCTGCAGTTAACCAGAGCCGACACAGAGGGACGGGGGTAGACGGGGAGGGGTGACTTCTGCTGAGAGAAGTGTCCCCAGGGAAGGGGGATCGCAGGTCTTCATCGCCCACTGCCACCACCCCCACCGCCCCCACCCCCGCCCCCCTGGCCCCCGGCGTCCGGTGCCCCCGACATCATGAGGAACAGCACGACGGGAATGATGTACATCCACTGCAGCAGACAGACAGACGGATGGATGGACGAGGGGGGAGAGAGAGAAGGTGGACCGTCAGTGCCAGCAAGCCCAGCCCAGGCCCCAGGGTGGGAGTGGGGGTGGGAACTGGGGGGAGGCCACGTGAGGGAGGTCCCAGGTCCCCTACGTCACTACAGGGGAGTGGGGTATGGGAGGGGTGTCCTCACTCAGGCCTCCTGCGGTGGCGGCGTGGGCCCCGGGGCAGCCGGACGCAGGGCTGTGAGCAACACGGCCCCCCCCAGGATGAGGTGCCACTGAGGAGGGAGGGGCAGCAGGTCAGGGTGGCCTCAGGGCCCGTGGCCATCGGGTGTGGGCGACCCTTGGGACCCCTGGACAAGGTCACAGCCTCCCTGGGTCCAGGCTCCCGTTGGCGTGGTGGTTTCAGCTGTCTTGGCCCCCGTGACCAGCCGGGCTCAGCCCCTCTCACCTCTCTCAGCACAATGGCCTTGGCCTTCACACTCAACGTCCAGGGCCACACGGAGGACGAACCCCTGCCTACCCTCACTTCCCAGCCCTCTCTGCCTGCTAGGCGCCCTGGGACCCCCAAATGTCCCCCAACAGTCGCTGCCTTCCAATACTGGGCCCTCTCTGCTCTCCAGATGCCCTACCTCCCTCCAATGCCCACCTGCCTGTCTAACTTCTCAGCCTGATGCCTCCAAAACCTTACACCCAGCTCCGGCCTGCTCTGCCCCCAGGCCAGGTCCCACATTTCCTTGGTCTCCGGCTGACCCATGTCGTCTGTGGTCACAGCTCTCAGATGGCCCTTCTCTCGAGAGCGTCGGTGAGCTGAAGGACTAATGGACAGTCTGGGGAGGCCTGTAGACCCCCACCCTCCACACACGTCTACATTAGGGTGGGGTCCCGCAGTCAGAAGCTGGAAGGTGACAGGGAGGCGTGGGGAGGAGGCCCACGTTCCAAGTCTTTCTGTAGGAGGAGGGTGGAGAGGCTGGGGAAGGGGGTTACTCACATATTTAGCGAAGAAGGACTTCTGCTCCTGGGGGTTCTTAGCCTTCTGGGCCTGCTCCATCTCCAGGCGCTCGATAAAGGCGGCTGTCTCCGGGCTGGTGGAGGAAGACCACACGGTGAGCTGGTTAGGGGGCTCCAAGGCAGCAGTGGTGAGGGCAGCTGGGTGGTGTGGGGAGGAGACAGTCTGGGAGGTGGAGAGATGTGGAGGGGAGGGATGCTGGGCAGGAGAGATGGAGGGGGGTCCCAGTGCAAGCAGCCAGTCCTGCTCAGAAGGCTGTGGAGATGAAGGGGTGAGGATGCAGAGGGGCAGGGCTGGGGAGTAGCC